GTATTTTTAATTTTCCTAGTGAAGAACCTTTATTCCTATTCCTATTTGCCTGAGAGCCCCTTAACTTCAAAATTGCAATAATTCAGAGGGAGTGTGTTTGCATTTTCTATTTCAGGGGAGGTTCCTGCCTTCCTTGGCAGACACCTGGCTTTTCAAACTGAGACAACACAGCTCTCTTGTCTGAGAGCCACAAGGACCTGTGAAAACTCTCAACTCCTCAGTCACTGTGACGTGGAAGCCTTTGTGCTGCTGTGTAACCGTGGAGGTGACTCAGTAGTGAGAGGAACACAACACCCTTTACCAAATCTTGCTTTAGTGCCTGAGTCCCTGTGTGGGTTAGGCCTCTGTGCCTGCATCCTTCCAGCACCTGCATTCCCTCATGGAGATCCCCAGCACATATCATATTTGAGCATCTTGCTCAGGGCTGGCTTTTTTCCCTGCCAGGACAGGAGCATTTATCAAGCACTTCATGACCATTAAAATTCCTTTCAGCGAGCATTCCCACTGGACCAGACTCACAAGGAGCAAAAACTGCCGTGGATCCACTGAGGCTCAGCAGAGGGAAACTGGCCCATGCCAGTACAGATGTCAGCTAAAAAGCAAGAGGAAAACACAGAAGGAAGCCCCAGGAGGAGCAGTGTACCTCTGAGCGCCCGAGGCGGTCCAGGTTGGAGATGTCGTAGATGTCAGCCACGGCTGCCGTGTCCACCCCGCCCGTGCCACGCTTCTGCAGGCGCAGGTTCTCCAGGATTTTGGAGAACCTGGGGTCCTGTCGGGAGAAACAGCCTTGAGCTTACTGCCTTGCACTGTGTGTGTTGGGCAGAGTCACGGCGATGCCGTGATCCTCACAGCGCTGCCGGGACAGGCAGAGGTGGAGAGTTCTCTCACTCCTTCGGGTACAGCCCCTCTTTGTGGCTTCCTGCTAAGCAGATTTATGGAAATCAATCATATTGATTTCCGTGTATTTCAGTGGAAATACAGCAATTTGCAGGAGTACAGCATGCTCCTTTAGCCTGTCCCAGACCTTGTTACACGCATCCTTTTAACGTGCGGTTGCCGTAAGCTGTCATTTCTCCTCCTCTCCTTTACACCCCAGGAGAGCTGGCTTATGTCACATTTAAATCGTGTCACATTCATGTCACTTTTGTCCCTTTTAAGTGCCGTGTACCTTGCTGAGCCTGGGCAGCTTGACGTGGACTCCTGCACGCAGCCCCGTGCCCAGGTTGGAGGGACAGGTCAGCACGTAGCCCAGGCGCTCGTTCCACATGAACTCCCAGCCCCGCTCCTTGATCAGCCTCTCCACCTGGGTGGCAGCACAGAAACACAACAAAAAGGGCAGATTTGCAAGTGTCCTGTTGTCAGGTGCCAGTGGAGTGGCAGGAATTTACACCTGGGAGCAGTCTGGTCTGGCTGTGGTACAAATGTTTGCACTCCTCAGGTAGCCAGAAGGATTTCTTCACCGCCTTGTAGTGACTACTAATGTGGGAAATGGATTTATAGAGACTTCTCAAAGCCTGGAAGAAGGCTCACAGTGTGCATCTGTATGCAAACCCTGAGACAAGAAATGCTGTTACAGAAATGCCATGGAACAGGACAGACAT